CCTTGGTCCACGTGTAAGTCTTGGCGAGTGCGACAGTGACTGGAATTGAGCTAGGCCCGATCGGGAGGGTGCCGAGGTATGAAGTTATCTCTGTACACGGGAGTACATCGCCTAGGCTAGTCGGTCTTTCGAATAATCGCGATCTCGTTCGGGCGCGTCGCGATTTTCTATTAGCTTGCGTGTTTGATATTTCATTCCCTATTTTTATGGGAACTTGAAAATATTTTAGCGTTGCGACAGTAGAGTTTCAGTATACCGAGCCGAAACCCTGTAAGACACGAAATATAATAAAGTGTCAGTAGAGTCATTTTAACTTAATTCGCTCCAAGTTAGATTAGGGTACCTTTGATACAGATAGCGCCAGCAGGCTGCGCCACTAGGGCGCATGTCGGGTCTCGATGCGCAGCCACCTCCACGTGGTGAGACCTGGTAATTGATATCGTTTTCCAAAGAATAATTTTTGGAAAACGATACCAAGCTGAGAGCTACGCACATAGTTTAAGATATTTCGTATCTTTTATAAATTTTCAATGTTCCCTTTGAACTTTGAAAATAGAGTGTGGGCAATACGTGTTAAAGTAATATGTATATTAAGATGATGAAGATAAGTATCGTAAGGTAAATATAATGTTAAAAAATTATCCTTAAGCTCGGAATAAATCAAATAATTAAAATCTTCTGCAATGAGTGGGCTGTATATACTCATGCAAATACATATTTGAATATCTCCATGTGCATTAGATATATCTTGCTTATACTTCTGAACATAGAGGATTGAAAAGATTCTGTCAGTTTGCGAATAACTTTGCGATAGTAATTCTTCAACGTCAGGTCCCATTTTGAAGCACTTCTGTAAGAAATAATTAATTCTATAGTAAACTGAAAATGAATCGCGTTATTGGAAAGTGTGCAGTATTAAACCTGCGTTACTGTGGTCAATGAACTGTCAACAAACTGCGAAACACACCGGTCGAGTGATCATAAGGTATTCCCGATGTTTTGCTTTCTATTTGACGAAATATTTCTAGTTAGAAATATCTCAAAGTGTCCAAGAAAATATATCGAATAAAACTACAATTATGTACCTCGGGTATGTGACGATGCTTTCGTAGTTATTGATTTTATAGTCCTCGATGATGGAAGTGAATATAATTCCTATATCCACCGTAGGAAATCGTAGAGGGCGCAAGAAGTACTTTGTTCTCGAGGTCGGTATGTTAGGATGTAAGACAGTAAGTCCAATAAAATATACGGTCTACCTTTTACCATGTGCGTGGCATCACTTTCAATGTTACCGATTTAACACAGAACAAGAATCTAGAATGTTAAATCTTTATATTTAATAAAAATATGTATATTTCATTTTATACAAATTCTACAGTCTACGTAACACACTAAAATATTTTGTAATATTGTAACAATCTTTTTAATACAAATGTAACGTTTGAAACCTGAAATAAAGGGCAAATATTGAAAATTTAGTATTTAATTTTTAATTCAATACTGTTATCCAAAGATAAGTTTTTTTTAGAAAAAAACAATACCAATTATTAAGTTCCATCAAGAGGCTCGCAAAATCTTAAATAGGGTGCAGATTCTTTATAACTAACATCCTAAAATTAAATCACCGTTTCCAAAATTCAAGTGGATTTAAGAAAATCCGAGATAAATTATGGATGTTCCTCGTCTCTTAAAATAGGTATACTCTGTATCTGGATTGTGTCTCCAACTCGACTGTACTTTCACTTTCACTAATGTACATATAAACAAACATACATACATATATATATGAATTAACTTCTGAGAATCATTTAATTTTGAAGTGTTTCGATCCTTCCGCAATCTTGAGAATGTAGCAAATAAATCCAGCAAAGGATGGGAAGAAAATAAACAATGATTCAGATTGTAGCGAAGTGCGACAAGTGCAATGATAAGATAATAAATATCTCGTAAATTACTAAGATATGATAAGATAAGAAATATAAACATGTCGCTAGAATAAAAATACCCTTAATATTTTTGTCCATTTATTGTAGCAAACGCGATCGGATAGAGGTAAAAGTGGGGAACTCACTCTCACCGTCCACCGACAAGGTGGCTTCGCCGTTCTTGTCATTTTTAAAACGCCAAGACCGCGAGTCCGATTCTCCTGCTGGTGAGCACTGCAGACAGACCTCGATCGACGAAAGAAGGAACAAAGGTGTGTTTTGAAATCGCATCGTAAACGACGTCAGCGTTTCCAAAATGGAGATCGAATTCAAGAATCTGGAGAAATCTGTCAAGAATCTTAGCTGCAACTACGACTACGTTCCCTCCGCGATAGAGAACATAGAAAGTAAGTCTTATTTTCCAAAAATTCGTGTCTGTCGTCGGTATTCATTTAATTCTTTCGAGCTAATCGATTTTGATAAATTCACAGTGACATTTGCGATGCATCGCAGTAATTTTGGAGCAAGTAACTATTACATTTTCTATTTTAAATCATAACTGCTCGCTCAGTTTTTCATAGTGGCTAGTGTTTCGATGTGATTTTGTCAATGAACAAAGGTGACAATAGCTCGTGTGGAAAGTGTGCTTGTCCGTTATGTTTGTTACGTGTCAATGTTACCGTCATGTAATTGAAACGTCAACGCCATTAGAAAGTAGCCTAGGAAAGTACGACAGTATGCGTGACATTCTGTTACCATATTTTTACAGAACGTTTCACGACTAACTGGCACACTAGTTTGATAATTGAAATATTAACAATTTTCTATTTGCATTTAAAATACGTACTTAATTTCTTTATTAAACTTGGTACATAACAAATATCACCTACAGCAATCACATCGAAACGCTTTGTTTAATCAATCTGTAATGTTGAACCTTTCGCGTGCTCCGATCTACGGAACATGCGCAGAAGTGAAGGCGTCGGTGAAAGTCTTACTCGAGGATCGTAACATGTGTTCCGTTGGACGCGTACACGCAGAACGCGACAAACTTCCTCGAAAGCGATTATTGTGTATACCCCGAAAATAATAATCACGCACGGCCAGATATTTCCTGAAATATAAAAGGAAGAACGATTAAAAAATTCGGTTTACAGAATGTTCATCCGGTCGACGTAATAGCAAATTGCATAACGGAACTTCAAAAACGAGCACACTTTGTTGAAATTATTTGACCAAAGGGGAAACTGGTAATTGTACTTTAAACGAAGATTCCTGTACGTCTCGTACGAACAGCCAATCGAAACTGGTAGCATATTTACATTAAGGATGGGCTTGAATGCGGTAGTCAAGGCTTTCACCGAATATGAAAATAAAATATATCGATCACGGGGAATAAATGAATATAATTAACCTACGGAAAAGAGAATTAAAATTCTTTTTTTATATCCTACAACATCGACGATGTATTTTCATTTGCACAAATTATAATTACAGGAGCCCGAGGAATCAAATTTTTTCCTTCGAATTTTGTCCTCGAGCAAAGTTGGACAAGGTAATCGACTTTTGTAAACGCATTACGATGCACTGCGGAATCGCACCACTGCAGCATCATAGATAGGAATATGTAATAAGATAGTATATTAAATTTTCAAATTGCATTATACATATTTGCAAAGATCTCGCAGCGAATTCTCTGTCGTAACGAAATTCTTTAACGATCTTTTTTGTAGCGTAGAAGTCACGTTTGTACAAAGGAAATTATATATTCCGAGACTCCTATTTCAGAAAAGCAATATACTATACGGTTTATTGCGCGGCGTTCCTCTGTCAGGCAATTGCTCAATGCTCGTGGTGCAAGATGTCCGAGAAAAAGGAGAAAAAATATAAACGAACGACCTAGTGTTTAAACACGAGCATAAGAATTCAATTATCGTTCCCGACTGCTTCCGCGACGTTAATTTTATATTATTTCTCTTTTTACAAATCTTGGATCTATAATGCATGTCTTCGTTCCGTCTCAGGTCGATCACCTCTGTTTTACACCCAAGTCTAGTCATAGCTATTATTCTTTCCGCAAAGATATCGATTGATATCAATTTCCGTCTGCAGATAAATATAGACTGTACCATTACGATAGCGTAAATAATCGATTTATCAATTTATATAATAATTTATCCTTGGCGTTGTTTATTCAGTTATTACAGACGCTTCTACGAATGCTTATCTGAACAGCGTGTTGAATCTAAAGAACAGTTAGGAATATTTGATATCTAATGTTGACAAGATTTACGACAAACTTCTTTTTGCAGGTTTAGGTACGTTTGGCATAGGTTTATTGAGCTTTGGCGCCATACTTTCTACGTTGACGCTGTACTTTGCTCTGGATGCTTGCCACAATATTTTCTACCAAAAGGAGACAAAGCTTTACAAGACCAACAGTATCACGATACTCTCTGTGTATCCTGTAGCGAGTATCTGCAGTCTCACTGCTCTTGGAATCCCAAGGTAAATCAGTTCGTTAAATGCCCTTCCAACGTGTCAAGATGTTAAAAGAATAATGGATTTATTACGATATCGCAAAATTTGAATTAGCAATGAAACTTAATTATAAGCTATTTGTCCAAGTTTTTTGAACGTTCACAACGTCTGATGTTTTAAGGTTTCAGTATAATAAAATATTAGAAACAGTACATCGGACCTCGAACGAAAATGGGGGAAAATTTGAGAAACGATAACGCGTTGTTCTCGCGGCACGAAACGTGCCGATTCGAGATGGTGAAATAAACTAGAAAATCCACTTAAGGGATCGAAGGAAAACGCGATCGAATATCGCAGGAAACAAAGGGGCAACCCGTTTGAGACAATTTTTAACGACGGTAGAACAGAAGAGAAGCCCCGGACTGTAGCTAATGATCTTGATTTTCCGAGATAATCCCTGCCTCGATGGCCGTGTCACACCTGCGCTGTCGATGTCCGAAATTTGATGGGTCCTCTCGATAACGAAGCTGGGACAGCGACATGGAAATTCCATCGAACGTCTACGAACGGCCATTGATATTTCCAACGTGTCCCGAACGCGTTTTTCATCTCGTTAGGGAAGATCTAAATTTTCAATTCGAGAATTCCTCGGTGCAGAACGCATACTCTGCGTTCGTGCATACAAACGATATTTCAAATTATTCACGAGTTATTTCGTATTCCGACAACGCTGACGATCTTCCGATTATTTCTAGGACCCAGTTGCTATCGGAGGCCGTGACCCAAATCTTCCTGACGATATCCCTCTATAGACTGCATCTGTTGCTTGTCTACGTAGGTCGCAAAAAGGTCACGACTACGCCGCCATTAGTGCTGCGAGTCGGGCCCTGTTGCTGTTGGCCCTGTCTGCCCTTTCCACGTCTCGAAATGACCGACGCCAATTTGTCCTGGGTCCGACTGCTAGTCCTGCAACTTCCTATTATCCAGGTTATTTCTTTTCTTCTACTTAAACTTTTTGCATCTCGGCTGCCAGCCGCTCTTTTCTCGTAAAAAGTACTTGTCGGTGCCCGTTAATCGCTGGTTTCTCGGTATCTGCGAAGGTTGGCCATCAGAATTCCTTTTTTTAGCCTTAGTTAAGTTTTTATAGAAAAATCGTATACCAGTGCTGATAAGATTATGCACGTTTTTTGCAGGGACTGACTTATTGCATATTTCTCTTCATGTCGATCGAGGAACCAAGTCTTATAACGCAATATGGGATTTGTCTCCAACCGTTCATGGTGATTAGCATACTTCTGGGAATATACGGGCTGACCATTACCTTAAAGAGTCTGCAGGAAGTCGCTCCAGGTAAAAATCGCGCATGCTTAATTGAGAGGAAGGATCTCCGAGCATAATCTGTTCCTGCTATCTGCTCTCCGCTGGGCGAAATTATACGGAAGGACGATTATAAAACAATTTTCGTGCGATTTCTCTGAATTATTTTTCTCGAGCGTGTATCTCCTCGGATAATAATTGCACGATTTTGTATTTCGATTTTACACGGGAAATTTTCTGCTCGCCGCGACAGAGACATCGGCCTTAGCGGAGAACGAGAGTGGGAACAGAACGATTCCTTTCTTTCAAGGGTAGCAATTACTTCGCGAAGGACCACACAAGTAAAGCGCGACAGGAAGCAATTTTCGAGCTCCTGGAAAACCCCATTGTCCCCTGCTGGCGTAGTGTTAACGGACATACGCGCTTTTGACCTGCTGTCGATTTCATAGAGGAGAAACTCCACCGCAAGGCCACAGTGTCCCAACTGATGCTGCTGTTTTCCAAGCTGCAGGCGTTCATTGTCAAGAGTCTATCGCATACGGGCCTGTTTCCATGCAATCCGCCAATTACGCCGCAAATTTACGCCAATGGTAATTCTTCTTTCCGTGTTCTCGGCTAGAGAAAATAACGATGTCGGATGCAAATTACGGTTCACGAATCTTTTCCTAAATTTCTTCGAAAAATTAACCGCGAGATTTGACACGCGAAATTTTTGCGACCAGAGGAAACTCTTCGCGACGCTCGAATTCCAAGAACACCACCTTTCGAATATGAATTCAAATTTCCTCGACGACAAGCCGCGGTGCAACTGGTCCGAGAACACGTGGAGCACGATGAAAGAACACGGGGCTCCCATAACATTTCCATACGCGAGGCCAGATAAAGGAACGAGCACTGTTACTTTCTTCTGCCCGATTTCAGTTACCTACAATGCCCTGATGCTAATCGAGATGCTGTTGCTCTGCTACGCGGCGAGGTACGTTTATTACGTGGAGCTGGAAAGGGAGGAAGAGACGGCGGCTGTCGAGGCGACAGATCGGTCCAAAGACAAGAGCACGGAACAAGCGACCTCGACGAATAACAACGAGGCCAACAGGCAGCCATCAGCGTTGACTGCGTGAGATTTCCTCCTGACTTTCAGCGACTTTCTAAATTTCGACTCTGTCATTTTTTTCCACGAGTGGGAAGCCGTAATTCGTATTCGCCGGGCTACAATGGAGCCACCGGTTCGTTAATTTATCACGGGTTCTACACCGCGAAAGTATCTAAAATAGATTCTACTCGTGGAAATCACTGTTGCAAGTCGACGTTCAAAGACTATTTCTACTTTATCGTTTAAGACTGGTTCAGTGAGCAAAGCTAGACTCCGAACGATACTATTGTCCGATACTTGTTAGAAAAGGTACTGATTAGTAAGTAATGTTAAAAGTGTTTTCTACCTAGATGTCGATCATCGTAAAACTGTTATCGAACACGTGTATCCCGTTTACTGGGACTTGTTACAGCGACTAATAAAATGAGAGACATTCACGAATTAGACTCGTTCGTTACACCGTGCTTAAATTCGATTACGCAAAGCCCATAAAACGCAACTGCCGCATTCTCGGGACAGGTTCGCGAAGGAACCCTGTAACTTTCAGAGAAAGTTGCGAGAGTCTTCGTGCCAGTAATCTATCTTGCGAAACGGTGTTTCTCCAAATCGCATCGTAGCTGTTAGAACGAGATATTTCGAGAATCGTGGAGGTTGTTGCAAATTGTTAAAACCGTGTCGGTTTGAAAGTAACGCGTCGCGAGGGGGATGAGAAAAACTCGCGATGGAATTACCAGGGGAGGAGAGACGATTGTTTACGAAGATTGAAGCACCGTCTGGAGTCACGGTAGCGATGGAGAAGTCGCAGCAGCGTCTTTTCATCGGGCGAGGCCTACCGCAGTGTCTGCACAGGCATCGAAGTCTCCGGCGCGGAAGAAACGGGAGCTGTCGGTCAAACTATGAGAACAACCATACGTGGCCGTGTACGTGAATTCAGCAGCCGTCGCTACGCATTATCGCGTCGCACGGCCGGCTGACAGATCACAGTGGATGCTCGACCAAATGACTTGCAGCCTGCACGCTCTTACGAAACGAGGCTGAAGAGCACTCGAGCGCTTTTTGGGGGAGAGAGGAAGCACTCCGACGTTCTAACGCGACGTTCTCGAAGAAAGAAATCGTTTAGGATAAAGTGTGTCGCTCCATTGTAACGAAGCACCAGAAGAACTTTCAGTGATGCGTAATTATCGTCATGCGCGTAATCATCTCGAAATAACGGCTCGGTGTCTCGTCTCTTTTCAGCCTGTGTTTTAGAGTTACGCGCGGGAAGAATAGAACACGAGCTTCTTATTGGCCCGATGAAATGCTTCTGCTGACTAACTCGTACTCCATGGAAGACGAAACCTTACCGTTCTAGATCCAGACGTCCAAGAATCAATTTTATAGACGCCTCTTTCGACGATTCAACAGAGGCGACGGAACAAACAGGTATGTTTTCCAAAGTTCCAGTTCACTACCTCAATACGTTCCTCGTGATCGTGTTTATAAATAATTTATTGTTCGTAGAGTGGGTTACACGGGATGTTGACACACGTGCAGCTGGACGAAATTCTTTCTAAAGAAGCGAAAGGACCACGGTAGCCGAGGAGATAGGGCCGCGTTAAGTCAAAAAATCAACATTAAAGACGCAGGGTCGCGCATGGCGGAACATTCCATTCATGTCGCACATGCTACCGATGCTCTTGTTAAATGCTCTAAAAGAAGTGTATTTTGTAACCACTTTAAGCTTGGGAAACGTACCGTTAATTGGATTTTGTTTGCTCAATTTTCCCAAATTATTCGAAAACTTGGTAACGTTGCCAGCATAAAGAGACGAGATCCGAAAGCTCTCTGCAAACCTAAGGAAATTCTCCGACGTAGACGTTCAAGTCGAGTGATAATAGACACGAGCAACGCACGATTTCGTCTTTTAATCGACGGTAAAAGGATCTCGCTAACGGATCCATGGTGCTCGGTCTAATCGCCCGAGGCGAGCAAGAAAACGAGCCTAAGTTCCTCCTGATGGTCGAACTTTGCTCTCCCTTTGCAAACAGAGAACAGACCCTTGAAACATCCTCTTCAAAGGCTTACGTCAGTCGTAACGAGGGCTTGGCGAATTTAAATATTGAAACAAGGTATCACGCGAATCGTTTGCGAAGCGTCACGAAAGATCCGACAAAGCCCGAAGAAAGAAGCGAGTACGACCGGCGCTGTTGCAGGGAATTTCCTTCAAATTGCCGTGACACCGTCCAAATTCGAGGAGAGGCAAAGCTCTGGGCTTCGAACGAGAGGAGACAAGCTGGACAGAAGTGGCGAAACAAAGTTTGAAATTCGAAGACGCGTTCGGGGCCCCGAAGAAGTCCCTCCGGAGTGGCGATGTCGGGAAGAATTATCACCGGCGCGCATCAGGAAGTGTCCCATTACATTCGAAGCGGCACGCCGATTTTTCTCGTTCCACGTTTCCACCTCGGACGATCGATTGTCACCAGGGTGGCGCGACGGCTTTTCGGTGCCAACAGAACCGCACAAGGGAAGGATATTAATATTCCGATAACGTGTCCGGACATATTAAGCGTCTTTGTTTCGTTGCTGCTCTGCCCCCTCTGCGCCACCGTTTGTCCGACAGAAGATGAACGTCCACGAGATAAGAAGTTCCACGAAGACTTCCCTTCCACTTTATTATTCCTCGTCGTGCTCATAGTTTCTGCCGCGGCCGCTTTTACCTGACCTTGCAACTATTATTATAAGACGTGGCGAGTTTCACGATGCACCACGCACAAAGTGAAACGAGTCGCCGCGTTTCGCTCGGTGAATCGTAACGGAGCCACTTGGCATTCGTGACTTCGGAAGAACCGTTTCTCTCCAGATTCAGCTGATAAATGTATACGCGACAAGCAAACCTGCAACCATCTCACGCGCTTCTCGCCAAGTTTCGGAACGTGTGTCCGATTTAATTAATATCATAGGCGATACGCGAAGGTATTCCGTCGAAAATGTGTCCGGAGACAATGGAGGTTCAGTCGGAATTAACGTTATCTAAAGTGCCTCGATCTCGAGCCACCCTTTCCTTCTTTCCCGTTCACCAGCTAGACGTTATTCGCGGAATCACGGTGGAGAACGCGAGCGGGTAATGACGGGACGAAATCGTTAGAATCGGTCAAAGTGGAAACGCAATCGCGATTTCGAACCACGAGCCCCTTTCTTGCGGGCCGGTCAACTAAACCATAGAGCAAGGGAACACCGTAAACGGGTTCGTGAGCACGAGGGGACGTTACACGCCGCTCCCAAAGTATATTGCGTGCCCCCTCATTTTTTGACCGATTTGAGGGTCTACTGCCTACCTGCAACCTGGCCCGCCGAGCCTACAAAACGTTCCCTATCCTTTCCCGACCTCTCCCTCTGCCCTTTCCCTCCGACACATTTATCTGCCTGGACTCTCCTTTTCTCCTTTTCCTTTCATCGCAGACCTTTTTCCTCGGAGCCATAATCACGATCGAGCTTAGAACGTGTAATAGATTTAACAGTTTCTTTCGGGCCACATGGTCGCAGGATCGGTTTAAGGGATGAAAAAACTCTCTCCGACTCGCGTGCATCATCCATTCTGTCAGCCGTCTTATTCTTTTTCAGAGAATACCCTCCGTGCTTCTTACCAGCGGCTTTCCTCGTACGTATCGCGTGAAATCTCTTTTCTGGATGCTCATTGCGCGTGATCGACGGTCTTCGTTACGCCATTACGATCCTCCGCGACGATTTATACGATCAAAGAATCGAACGCGATTTTAATCCCGGTAATATTAATTAAATACTCGTTTAATACTCGAAATGAACGTTTCGATGGGCCTTAAAGAACAATAATAAGGCGAATTAGACGTTCGGCATCGGGAGAAAAACGGTGGAATTACGGTTAAGTAGGGAACATCGAGGGGAGAAGATTCGGGAATCGCAGCACCGTGATTCCGAGATTGTTGATTGGTAATCTTCGGTGGAACTAATTAAGGCAGGCCGACCCGGATCCACCGTCCAAATTGTTTTCTATGCCGGCTTCCCCTCTGTCTCGACTAGATAGCCTTGGGGATCTTTTTTAGCTCTAGAACGGCTAATGAAAAAAACGACGCGACAAGATATTTTGCGACCTAATGAGCCGGCATAGCGACTCTTAACGTAATTATCTTTATGATTTATAATAAACGCGCACTCGTTAGCCGAACGTTCTCCGGGGCCGTGCAATTTATGGATTCCTAAGAACTTTGCCAGCCACGCTCGTGTCCACGCGAAACGGAAACGTGTGCCGGCTCTAACTGCGAATTAATCGCGGTCTTTTCAGCGCAACTTGCAAGTAAACTCGGGAATAAACTTGGAAATAAACGCCGATAGAACTGCGAGATCCACTGCTGGTTCCTAATTTCTTCGGTATACGAGGGTCCTTCGATTCCCTGCGGAAAGCTGCGTCAAATTCGACAGGTCTAATTTCATGAAACACACGATGGTGTAACAATGCGGCATTGTTTGCCGAGGGTGTAAAAGCCGTTCGAAAGGAACCCGAAAATCGTCAGGAAGAAAGGAACCGTTTGTTTTCTTTTCTCTATCTTGCCGACTTAGCGCCTGGCAGACCCTAAAATCCCCATAAACGCTTGCAATAAAAAGGGATACCTCTAGAGAGCGAGCCACGACTTCTGGCCAGGAAATCGTCGAAAATTTCACGTCTCCTTCGACCGCGGTCGCTTTTGATGGCCCCTAATCGCTACTTCCAGGCTATCAGAAAATTGTCGCATGCCGCCACTTCGTCGAAGAGCTGGGCCTCTTCCCGGGCATCCACTTCGATGAAGGACTCGGCATGAAATTTCCCGACTCGTATTCCCGACATGTTCAGCTGCAGGAAATTCGTCGTGGTCCGATACGAGGATTTCCAGATCCTCGAGAAGGACGCGTGGCCATCTGCGGCGCGCGCGCGCGCGCGAGAAATCGGAAAACGCTTTTCGAGATCGTCGACATATGGCACGCGGGCCAGACTTATCTCGAGGAAAAAATACGCCTCGGAGGCGCGGCCGTGTCTGCCGAAAATGTTGCGGAGGTGGAGACGAACGAGTCGGCTGCCTCCTTGTCCCGATCCAGCGATGGATTCGACCGGCTTTCAAACGAAAATTAAGCTTCTCCTCGGCTTAGGCGTACCTGAGTCGATTGTTTCGCGTGGACATCAGTCGAAGAAAA